GATAATGACTACTGAAAAGAATTGATCGATTCATGGTGTCCGTCAAAGCTCAACAATCTCCATAACCCTATACTGATATTCAGAAAACCCTGAGTATGTATAGTTTTTGAATGATCTCAATATGAATGCAGGTTATATAGAAATATGTTGAAATATTTCAGAAGTCATGTTGACAATTCATTACTGTAACCAATTCGTAGTGAAGAATAAAGCTATTGTGATTAGATATCATTGATAAACAAATGCGATTTCACAAAATAATTCATAAAGTCCTACACAATAACCAGACAAATTAGAAAATTATTCAGAAACTAACTGCACTAGAAGTAGATACATATCGCATGAAAGGTTGCAAGTGAAAATCGTGGAAATCTCTTCATCATGTCATGACTGAGGCAACTCTATTATTTTGTCGAATTTCACATTAACATACATCTGAACTTAATATGAAACAGAGAGTTGACGCCCACATTACTAAAATTATTGGCTGAGAACTCTGTTGACAAATGTGTTTCATGTGACTAATATCAAAATACAATCTATTGAATATGTAATATTTTGCTTTGAATTTCGAGTAGATAAATATCTAAACAACAGTTGTATGTCATGAAAAACCATTACGGTAAAAGTAAAAATAAAGTGATTTACGAAATTTACATACGGTAATATTTTTTCACATTTGTCATCTTTAAACATATTTTGCCATGAATTGTAAACTTTTGTTGTTATGTCAAGTGAATGACAATCATTTTTCCAAAAATCTAATAACTAAACAAATTTCAAATTATTTTTTTGTTTGTAAGCACAAAAGTACACGTAAATAATTATGTGTAGAGGTGTAGTATCGTATACAATGACGTAAATATGTTGTTTCTCGTGAAGAAACAGACATCTAGAATAACAATGAAAGATCAATAATAAAATTATTTAGATCACAGTAAACAACAACATTAACAGCATTCATGTGAAGCACAAGTTTTTTTCATCAATAAACCACGATAAATTATCGATTCCTAAAAATTAGGATAAGAAAATCCATTTCCCGTTAGTGTTTTACATATTTAAAAATCCTAACATAATTAGATTTCAAAATGTAGAAAGTCCTAATGAAATACGTGAACTCGATGTTGTATGAAAACAATACGAATTTAAGTTTTAGTTTGCTGATACTTTCATAGAGTAATTGTCAACTAGATTTTTTTTTGAGGCATCTGTCATGGGTGAGACCTTTATGTAGAAATCATTATCTTAGAATGATTACAGATTATTTTCATAGAAGTTAATCTAAGTTGTTTGTTAGACAATTCCGAATGATGAATAAAAAGTTAATTAGAATAATCCCATTCTGTTAAGCACATAGATTTACTTCATCATTAAAGAAATTTCATAGGTGTGCTCAACTGTTTACACTTATCAACTAATATACAGGTATATCAAATATAAACAGTAGTCGTCTCTTGTAAAATTATTTAGTAAATGCTTTAAGAAAATGTTTCATTTAAAGACGACTAGTATTAAGCCAAGATAACAATAATTTTAATTTTGTTACGATGCGAAATTTACATGATAATATTACAGAAGAAGAACATTCAGATTATACTCAACTACTTAATCTAACAAAATGTTACGTATGCGAATATACGACAACTAGATTTCTAGACGTGTATATTGCAATTCTATACACTGTTAGAGTTTACCAAGTAACACTGTTGTATAATAAATGGTTATGATAAATAAAAGAAAATTGGAGAAAAAATTGTTTTCATTGAAATTTCAAGTGTAATATGTAGGCACATAGTAACCTGTAGTACAAAGAATATGTTAACCTTTTATAAGAAATTCCTAAAAGTTAAAATAAAAACACATGAAATAATGTCAGTATATAAAGTTACAAAACTACCAAACCATTTCATAGAAAGTATGGAAATACTTTGAATGTTCAATGAAATTGAAATCATATGACATGTGTGCAAAATGAAATATCACAAGAATGAGAAATATCTAGTATTTGTTAACTGATCTCTGATGGTAAATGTAGAGAATAGAGAGTGGAGAACAAGAGAAACAAACCACTTGTTGATTTGTCAAATATGTTATTCACAAATTGTAAATGATGTAAATTTGTGCAACATTGAATGTAATGGAAAACATTAACAAAACCTTTATTGTTGTCTTAAGTTGGTTAAATTTTCTTAACAATGAAGAGATATTTCATGCAATTAGTTCTCTTTATGAATTTAAATAAAGCCGGAACAATTATTGATGCAGAATATTATGAATTCATTTTATTTCGAGGTTTCTCGTCAGTTGCTTACAACCAAATATGTCAGAAGGGGTTTTGTGGAGATTTTAGAAATTTCACTGATTGAAATCATGAGTCAATTGAAGTTAGACCACCATGGGAAAACTGGAAGCACTGGACGGCTGTTTTGTCCTGTTGTGGGACTCCTCAGCAGTGAGCTTTCACTATCACGCACCCCGCAAGATGTGAACCCAGGGCCAATCAGTCTCGCGCCAGGCGCTTAACCAACTAGACCACTGAGCTGACATCCAATATGTATCAGAATTCAACATTGAGGTAAGAAATAGTATGAAACAATTGACATAATTGAATGTAAATCATTGAAATGACAAAGGTTATCAATAATAATTATATATATATGCAAGAACATGTCAGAAGCTATTCGATGTTAGAATTAAGGAAACATTAAGGATGGGTGGCATAATAGTTGAGTTGTGTTTACAGACAGATAAGATAAATTGTGTGACAATTTTAGAGGCAATGAAGCATTCATGGAATTAAAAACTGATAAGGTGGGTTACGAAATAACTGAATGGAATTAGAAGAGTTCACATAATTTAAGAGGATCAAGTGAGCGGAAATATGTGAATGAAAGGGTGGTTTAAGAATTCGGTTATGGGAGAGGAATATAACACAAACTAAATATTTTTAAAAATAAATAAATAAAATAACACTAATTTAATTGAAAAATTCTAATTCTTGGATAATATTCATTTTGACTTAAAGAAATTAAACCCATATCCTAATGGGGTTCAACAAGATGATATATAAATGATAACTTACCCGCAACGTGTCAAGTAAATTGATTGTAAATTTGTCCACTCATTCAATAAAACAATTTACTGAGGTATAATACAAATCAAACTGACATTCAATGGTTATTGACATCGGCTCAAGAACTGGTTCTATCATTGAAAATGTAAACTCATTTACAATGAGAACTATTCAGATCCATGGGGTTGAACCTAATATATCGATTGACCATCTGAGTTGATCTGAAGGATATTTCACAGTTTCAGTTGTCTTCAATGTTTCTTATAGATTCGTTGTCAATTTTTTTGGTGTGAAGTTTTATTAACAATGAAGAATGCTAGTTTTATCATTGGTCTTTTCTGAGGTCTAGACCGGTAAGTAATAGTTACAATGTCTGGCTCTATAAAACATGCAGAAAATTTTTCCAGAGATATGAGGTGAACTATTGACATCAACTTACACGCTAAAAGCATGGTTATGATCAATAAACTAACTAGTTAAATGTACAATTATTGTGGCTGCTATTTAGTTGATCGAATTCAAAAGTCTACTGAAAACCATGTAAATCTCATTACATTGATAGACCCATCTCAAACTAACCTTACTTTCGAGGTACATCGGTAAACAACCAATCGAAACACCTGTAACTGTAATTTGAAACCGGAAATGTTGATTTAATTTTCTTTGCTAATCAAATGAATAATGTGGAGTATAAAATTCGTAAATAGTTATGTTGATTAAGATGCAATTCCGATGAACCACTCATTCAGGCTAAACGTCAATATTTATGTGACTAATAAGAATAAAAAACAGTATTGAGATTGTTTAAAATCTATGTCTTACTACTCATTAGCCTATCAGCAAATTAGATAACCTTCGAAAAATTGCGACTATACACAATCGAATTGCTATTTCAGCTTTTTTAAATAAGTGACCTACGAGTAGTTTTATCATTCGACAACTTGTGTTGAAATTACTGCATTTCCATTTATCTACTATTCATACTGATAACGCTTAATTTTTTAAAGCGTCGTTTGCGCAAAATAACGGGATTAGATATCTGGGCATGGAATTATCAATTTATCATTGACAAGTATTCGGGCTCATATTAGCAGTTGAATAATATGGAAAGTGTTAAGGAATACGAAAGCGTGAAATCATTTCGTTTGCTATATTTAATTGTTTAGTTTTGAGGGGTGAAGTTTAAAAGAAGTTGATGAGTGATATATGATCCACTAGGTACAATAGTTGGCTCAATTACTGAAGTAACTGACAAGTACCTCCAATGACCGGAAGATTATATGATTAGTTCATATAATTAATAACCAATAGTAGTTTCACTCCGTTTATTTCACTGATTCATGTTAACGTTTCTGTATGAAAAATCGTAGCTTTTAATTTTCCCTGAAATATATCCAAAAGGAACCAATTTATCTCAACAGTTAACTGACTAAAAGGTAGCTAGCTGTGATCAATTTATTTTGTTCAGCCTTATATATAAGATACTTTCAAACTGTTTTTCTCACTCCGAATTCATAGTTTTGTTAGTAAAATGTGAGAAATCAAAGATATGAAAAAAGACCTGAATGTGAACAGATTCAATAACAGTACATATAAATTACTAAAGATTTACCGAGGACTGTTTAATTTGTCATGGTTAATAGAAGAGTGATCGAACATCATCCAACTGATGTTCATGTTGGAAATTTTCATTTTTCTCATATGTGGTTACATAGTTTTATATATCTCACTTGTTTGCTGAATAAACTTCATGTTTTGAGTAAACTGTTAGTTCTGGTATAAAGCCATTATGATGAGTCAGTAATTTGACTGTATCTTGAAATAGCAGTCAGCTGATGTCAGTTAATTCATCAAATTTAACCTACATGTACTACCCGTCATTCTTAATTCGTTAATAAAATATTTAACACGGAAATGTGAAATTGAAGAAGAAATTGGTTCGTTTTATTACAGTATTATTTTCAATACAAAACAGAATGAAACTAAAGTATCAGTGAATTGCAAAAATTAAAAAAAAGATTAATATTTCTGGTTTATAAGTTACAAAACAATGCCCATGCTTAATATACGGCTGAATCTATAAAATACAGAAAGCAAGATAAAAATAAAAACAATCGATTTGTGTAGAATATAATGTTTGTTCAGTTTCACTGCATCTTAACTCTGAAGAAACAAGTGAGTATTATGACTATCACAGTCAACATATGATGAACTATACGTGTCTGTACACTCTTATTACAATAGTCAGTTTGACAACAATCATAAGACAGTGATCTGTGTGTTGGACCCCAAAACGCAAAGCTGCACTCAGGTGCACATTCTCTGATTGGAGTTGGGTAATGTTTTACCGAAAGCTTCTACAATAAAACATATGAAAGTGAAATATATATACTCTCGTTATTTCAAAACAAATAATAGTATCTCTATAAGAAACAATAATCAACAGATTCATTTAGCACTATGCAATGGTTGCGAAGAGTCTAGTAGAACGTCCTTCACACTTAACAATCTATTTGTTTAAGTAAAATGAGTATTGTTAAATTGATTTCTCCAATCAGTGTGTTTAAAATAATACTTTTTTTTATCAGAACACATTTTGTTGTCAACATCAAGGTAATCAGTTTTAATTATTTCTTGGACATTTTTGTTCGTACATAGTGCAAGTAAATAGATTTGTTTCTCCAAACCTGAAGATCACCTGAAAATAATAATTGTTCACAGCGATGATTAATTCCAGCTGATCGAAGTGAGGACAATTACTTACTTTACTTACTTACTCCTGTTACTCCTCGTGAAGGAGCATAGGCCGCTCACCAGCATTCTCCATCCAACCCTGTCCTGGACAATCCCTTTCAGCTCTTCACAGTTGTTATTCTTCCTTTTCCTATCTGCCTTGATTTCCCGACGTAATGTGTTCTTTGGCCTTCCTATTTTCCGCTTCCCTTCAGGATTACAAGTTAGGGCTTGTCTCGTGATGCAGTTTGATGATTTGCGTAATGTATGTCCTATCCATTTCCATCGTCTTTTCATACTTTCCTTTTCAGCTGGAAGCTGATTTGTTCTCTCCCACAGAAGGCTGTCGCTGATGGTATCCGGCCAATGGATGTTGTATATCTTGCGTAGACAACTATTTATAAATACTTGTGCCTTCTTGATGGTGTTTGTTGTTGTTTCTCAAGTTTCAGCTCCTTACAGTAGAACTGCCTTGATGTTCGTATTGAAGATTCTCACTTTGATATTGGTTGAAAGTTGTTATGAGTTACATGTTTTACAATTGTAGGAATGCGGATCTTGCTTTGCCAATCCTTGCCTTTACGTCTGCATCTGAACCTCCTTATTCATCGATGATGCTTCCTAGGTATGTGAAGGACTCTACATTTTCCAGAGTTTTGCCATCAAGAGTGATTGGATTGCTGTTCTCCGCTTTGAATTTGAGGACTTTGGTTTTCCCTTTGTGTATGCTGAGGCCTACTGATGCAGAGACTGCTGCTACACTGACTGTCTTCATCTGCATCTGTTCGTATGTACGTGATAGGAGTGCTAGATAATCTGCGAAGTCCAAACCATCTAATTGATTTCGAGCTGTACATTGTATGCCGTGTTTTCACTCAGATGTCGAGGTCTTCATAATCCAGTCGACCACCAGAAGAAAGAGGAAGGGAGAGAGTAGACAGCATTGTCTGACTCCGGTCCTTACTTGGAATGCATCTGTTAGCTGTTCTCCATGCACGACATTGCATTGTAGTCGAGGATAACTAACACTGTGGTAAATTGTCTTTAGCCCTAAATAACTGAAAACAACTAACGATTCACTTTCACTTAGATTTAGTGTTACTTATGACAGAGAAGAATAGATAATTTTCAATCATTTATAAAACTGTTGATTAGTTATGCTTGTACACTAGAGAGACTACAGGACATTCAGATGAATTAACAATTACCCTGTTTTGAACGGTCATAAGTACATTAATGAGTAACGGTTCAACACTTTAGTTAATCTCACTGGATAAGCTTATTGAAATTCAAACAATGAATGAATCATTGCACTTACTGCACACCATTTACAATTATGTCCTATTCTCACTGAAGAATTCCTAAATGGAACTGGACAAGGATTGCATTCATAGCAGCTTAAAGACAGACCTGAAATCAGATAAGAAGATATAACGGTACTATCAAATTTGTACGTTTGTTTAAACTAACTCAACGACTGTTCTTATTTATGATTTAATGAATAGTTCATTGACTGAACACAACAACATTCATGGTATTACTTACAAACATAACAAGTACATACTGAAGAAATAAAGTGCTGATCACAGTCCTATTCGAGCTAACCAGTTTTCACCAGACTTGCATTGAATCGCAGGTAACATGATGGATAGTTAAAGGATTTAAATCAGTCAGTATAAAAAGTTAAGAAGAAATCTGTTTCAATTTTTTCTAGTTAACCGAAATACCTTTACATTATTTATAAAACAATCATCATATAACAAAGCGAAATGTTAACAAGTTATCTTACTGCAATGTATATTAACTATAATCAGCAAGATCGAAAGGAGAATCTGTGAAGTATACTCCATGGTGGTAGTAGGACAATTAAAATCCGATTACTGTACTTAGACGTTTATTGTAATGATATCGTGATGTTCAGACCAATTTAATCATGATTTTATTAGACTCTTATGTCATCAATACACATTAAAGCATATTTAGATGATTGGCCAACCGAAAAACTAAATGTTGATTGGATATCGTATTCTGTAGTACAGACTACACACTCACTAGACATACAATGTTAATACGATATGAACATTTATCATAAGGAATATTACCGGTCGCGAAGTTGAATTTCCTGAGTAAACCTTATCACATAACCAAGGTATTCTCGAGTCTAGTAATTTGTAGAGAGTTTGTCTACCAGTTGTCTCCCTTAGGTACGTGTTCGATATAGGTTCCATTTTATGTTTCACCTAACAGACTGCAAGATTGAATAGAACTACCATGTAGTTTTGTGTTTAATTATCTTCCAAATGTTGAGAAAAATACTATCTCGAGAACGATGACACGCAACACGTGAGAAATATTATCTAAATTTTATCGATCAAGACTAAGAAAATATAATGAGGAGTAATAACAAATAAATTTGATTGGTTTTGAAAACATCTAACATTTATAAATGGCCTCGCAATGTAAATCACGTATTTCTGCGGTCGTTCATTCATGCTATTAACACAATTTTCGTGTACTATCTGAAATAGAAAGCATCAGGGGTCGTGATTATCATCGTACGACTAATATCAAAGCGTTTCAACACAATGAAAGTGAGTAAAATAATCTGATGTCTTCTGAAGTGTAAAAACTGGTGTACATGAAATATTTCAAACTATAATTTAACCGGCATCATTGTGAGATATCGGTTGATCTGTGTGTGAAATTGACTTCATTGACAGGTATCATTTATTCGTTTATTATTTTACATTGGATTAAATCCAATCACATGAAAAAAATGCCGACACGAGCAATGATGTATTAGACATTGAGTTACCTGTTAATTCAATCAATACCAATTATAGGAACTAGTAATTATAAGAAAATGTGAATTGCAAGATGATCTAAATAGTAGTTGTTAGTTCTAAATGTTGAACTGATTTTAGGAAAATATTAGAAAAATTCTTGATGAGTTAACAACACATTTCTTAGTGTTTTCAGTGAAGATGTAGGGAACTGTGAAGTTGGATAAGGACAATAACATCTATACTAAGTGTGAAAGAAATGAGGTGAGGTGAATCTGTGGTATGGTCGAGATGGATCTACTTTCATGAAGTATGGTGTAACATGTAATGGGTCGTTCTCGATTCTGTCAAGATTGTTAGATTCAATGGATATACAAAAATTGATAGAGAAAATAAAATACGCTCAAACTGCTTACAAAGGAGTTACATGGGTACTGGAACCATTTTACATTACAAAGTCTACAGTTGTTAGTTTGATTTGTTCCAATTTGTGCAGTGTGTCAAAGAGGAGGTTAAGTGCAATTGTAGAACCGGATAGGATAAAAGTATTCAGTGTTAATGCTTTAGTTCTGTCAACTAAATGACTTCTGTCAATCAAATGAGAGTAGACAGAGTTGTGTATTGACTTTCTATGTTTATCTCCAAACCACACTATTATCGGTGTTACAGTCGATTGCAAAGTAATTGAGTTCAGCTTTGCAAAATAATAATCAATTGCTTCTATTATTATTATTATCAGCTTTATTCAAAAATATTTTGTCGGTTTAATATAGAATACTTGATGCAAAGTATTTCAACATGTTTCCATTTCTTATTTCTTGATCGATCCTGACGATAAACATTGAGTGATCGCCAATTGGATGTTAGCAGTTTAGGAATAGACATCTGAATATTGTACACTCATTTCGATGTATATTGCCAGCAACCATAATGTATCTGATTGTGCTCTTTCCTAACTTGTACAACGAAAGGTCATGAACATTTCACAAACGCATCTGAATAGCTTGTGCAACTAAATAATTGACATAATGATCTGTTGAAACAAACAAAAGACAGATAACATGTTGAAATATCTAGATAGCAGGCACAGTTAGCCTTGATATCCAAGTGCCCAGCCTAGTTAATATTATTGTCTCAATTCTCATATTTAGTAAAGGCCTTTTAAATATCGTTTATGTGAAACTGTTTTTACTATTTGCTTGTCTTTCAATAGAAATCCGCTTTGGATGTTGAAATGGAGTGAAAATTGGAAAGGTCGGAAATTTCAGAACTATTCTGTGATTCACTGTAATCCCTATTTTTAGTACGTAATGAGTTAACATGAGGAAGTGTTGTATTCCAGTTATAGTTTAGTAATAGAATATAAAATAATCATGAACACCGAAAGTTTAATATTCAGAACTCGTGATTAATAATAACAAAATTTACAAAACAGAGATTAACGGTCGAATATCTGACGCTAGTTAGATCGCATGATGATGATTATTATGGAAATATACACGTCGATAACCCTGGTATATTTTCATGGAATTAATTCACGTTAGACAATAACGGAATGAAATAAGTTGAATATGAGAATGAAATAGGTATACGTATACTCCATACACTCATTGATCCGCACAGACAATCAGAGAAACGAAGTGGAGAAAACGAAGCAGAGAATGTTGCTGGAAGAATGGAATAAGAACCAAGACGGGATAGTCGAGAAAGGCAACTCGTTTTGATGAAGCATTACTCAATATTCATATTCAGACAAAATTGAGTTGCAGACACGTATTGATCAGATCAAACAATCAACCCATATGAAAACATAAAATCAGTTAGGGTTAATAAGTGAGGAAGTGACAAGTTCAGAATGAAACTTGAGAAGAATAAATAACTGGTTTGTGCATAAGCTAGGATAGCCTATATGGGTTTGAAAAAGTACCAGTCACTACAGGACAAATTGATCATTATTCGTCAAATAACCTTCAACAAAGTAAACCAAACAATGGAATTCATAAATGTTTATCAGAAGGTGGAATAGTATCAGGCGAATTTCTCACAATTTCTTATGTGGTTTGTGTGTTTAGAAGAGTGGAGAGTTTAAATTTATGTGAAGTGAATGATGGAAATGCCTTAGTGATCAGTTTTCATCATTTGTTTCCGTCATCACTAAGATGCTTAATATGAAATATATGCAAATCATAACAAAAACGAATGGACTCTATTTAGAATTCAAATACACTCACGATGTTGAATACACCCAGAATGAAATTAACTTGTTGAATCTGAAGACACATTCATCAATTCACAAGGTCCTACACAATAACCAGACAAATTAGAAAATTATTCAGAAACTAACTGCAGTAGAAGTAGGTACATATCGCATGAAAGGTTGAAAGTAAAAATCCTGGAAATCTCTTCATCATGTCATCTTATTCATACTCAGCCTCGTCTTAATTCTCACTAACAAACTTGATATATCACAATCACAATGTCAATCTGTGTAGTTCAAGACTGAGGCAACTCTATTATTTTGTCGAATTTCACATTAACATACATCTGAACACAATATGAATCAGAGAGTTGACGCCCATATTACTAAAATTATTGGCTGAGAACTCTGTTGACAAATGTGTTTCATGTGACTAATATCAAAATACAATCTATTGAATATGTAATATTTTAATTTTAATTTCAAGTAAGCAAAAAATATTAGATATCCTTTGGTAAAATTGTGTTCCTTGAAAAATCACTGTCCTTGTCGTCATCTGATTGGCACCAAATACTATAATGACAACTTTATTATTGATTCATGTTGCTCTGAGTAAACAACAGTGATGAAAATCCCGAAAAGTGTTACAAATCCGCTTATCAATGAACTTTTATAAGTTAACTATCTTCACTGACTACATTGAGGAAATCTTTTTTCCTGTGGCGTATAATGCTTCTATGAAACTCAGTTTTGATTACCTTATTCGAGAATACAAAAATTTCATGTTATGTGAAGATAATAAAAATTGTTGGAAATAGTATATCAACAATTTCATAAAATTATTTTGATATAATCCTCTAGGCGTTTATCATGAATGTGTGGCGCTCTTCATTTTTACGATGTTGTTGATGGGCTCACCACTTTTGTGGTCTGATGTCTGTCATTAATCGAATATATATATATATATATATATATATATATATATATATATATATATATATATATATATATATATATATATATATATATATATATATATCGCCAATCCTCGTACTAAATTATTGACTTGAATCGCGTTGGCGAATAAAGGAAACAACAAAGTCAAATACGAGAATGGATGTTTGAATTAGTATTTTTTTTGTACGCTCGTTGATCGGAATAGATATTCAGGGAATTGCAGCTAATGAAGTGAAAGAGAGCAAAGCGGAACGAAATGACTCCCAGTGGGGAAGGCATGTGAGCCAACTCGATTCAATCAAGTGTCAATCAATATTTATACCCAGATAAAAATAGCTTACAGACATGTGATGAATGGGATAAAAAGTGCACATACAAATCTTACAAAAAAACAGTCAGGATTGATAAGCCAATAATTAACAAGGTCAAAACGTGATTCAAGAAGAATGGATAAATTGGCCTGTCCATAATCTAGAATAAGCTAAGTGGGCTGAACATATACACACGTACAGATCACATACGTACATACCTACATAATACACACACATACACAGAAACAGACACGGACACAGACACAAACACACGCAAATGGATTGTTTCGACTGAACTGCTCGACATCGAGTGTGAACACGTGTTTGCTTCGAATGCCAACTTCCACGAGTATAAATACTGTGGTTGAATGTATGCAGTCAGCAACAAGTTGACAGCAAACCACAATGCAAATCTTCAATGTATGTTGAAATACTGTTGTGTCTAATAATATATGCCTGATCGGTGTTTTTATTTCAGCTCGTCTTAGTTGTACTGGTCGTGTCATTCGAATGTCACAACTCAGGTGAGTCTTATCTTACTCGATCGCATAACATGAAGTTGCCACTTACTGGCGAGTAATTACAAAAGTATCCCACTTGCTGATTCAGCCTTCCGTTAAGCACAACAGTGTTGTGTCATGTCTTCAACTGAAGCGAAGTGGACTGAAGCGAAGTCAACAGAACTGAAATGAATAGTAATGCGGTG